TGGAGATCAGACTGATACCTCATTGACTGCCGGATTCAGCAGGTGGGCATCTCTTGAAAATTGAGATAACACAGCAGCTCTAGTCTAATGGGACAGTTTCTGCTCCACAGTTTCAATAAAAAGTAGTGTAACTCGTCCAGAGAAAGTTGTGCCATGAATTTGAGGAGGGAAAGGAAAAGCTCATCTAGTCCTGTTTTCTAAGTAAAGTTTTATAGTGTGATCACACGTTTGAATTCTGCGCGGGACTGCGCATCCAAAGGGACAGCGCAAGGAATATAATGGTCAATGCTCAGCAGCGAATCTAATAAATCCGGCCGATTAGATTGCAGTTGGCAGGTTGTGGATAGGCTGCTTACTCTTATCTCAAATGGTCTCGGTAACCACAGGGCTCCTGCTGCTGGTTTCTCGTATCGGACGGTATAACAGATGGTTAGGCAGCGATCTATGGCATCTCCAATGCGCAATGAAACCGTCAGGTTTCCCGGTCTATTTTAAGTTGAGCCCGCAAATTTACCCTCTGAAAAATCAGTCTCGTTGTGTTCGCTCCCAGCTTGAATGTGCCAGCGAGTATCCAGAAGTTCCAGACTGCTTAGGGGCCCAATGTCCAGATTGGTCATTTGATTCGCACAAGAAGTGATACCTACTGCTAAAAACGTTTGAAAAACATGTGACCAGCAGCCATCAACTGGGTTCAGTGAGCGCGCAATTTCAGATGCCAGCATACTTTAATGAGAATGTAGAACACCAGATTTCATCAGTTAGTAAGTATCCACGAGCTCACAGTGTCATCGCAAGCGTCCGTCGAAAAGCATCTGGAGATTACCGCATACAAATGAATGGCCAGAGTTCACTTTCTGCTCTGAATCAGTGGCAGTTTTGGACGCAAGTTCTCCAGTGGTAACTGATCGCAATGTGCTCAATCTGCGTCCATGGCTGATGGGCGCCACGTTATCCGCTGGTGCGTGCTGAGTCGGAAGTTGGTGCTCGCGAGAAACTGGCGAGTATCTTTACACAGATGTAGCAACCGATCAACATTAGCATTACGGGAAATCACACCCGTTGCCCGCACAGATACAGCTCATCAGTGGATAAGCTACAAATCTGAGCGTTCAAATCCAATGCTACAGTATCCGAACTCTTTCGGTGATGAAGAAGCTCGTTTAATCGGCGATGGAAGTTGTCTTCCACCGAGTCAATGCTACAGTTCGTGGGCACGTATGCAGCAATGAGAAACAGCTATTGTCCGTGCGCGACTTCGGAACTTTTAACGAGCTAGCCAATTTAATCGCGCATATACGGATGTTGATAGGAATCCTATCGATCAGGGTAGCTTCAGTCCGGGGATTCAGAGCAATGTCCACACCTGCTTGACTAGCAATTGAAGCTGCAACATGTTTAGGTAGACGTAATGAGAAAATACCGTCAGTGTCGTATGTGGGGGTCTTGAAGCCGGGAATCCGATAACCAGCAGGTAGTGATCGATAGCGTCCCTACTGTTCTGGCAAGTGCTATCTGTTGACCGATCCGCGACATCATGCACGCGCTGAGGTGTCAGTCTTAGCGAGGCTCGAGGGCCCTAGATAGAAGGGAGTGAACTGACATTGTTCGGTTGAACATAACTTTGTCGACGGGACCGGAGCGACGATCGCTGATAACCTGAATCGAAGTTAGAAGACAAACGACAATCGAATCAAGATGATGGAGGACCAAAAATCGGGGGAGGGGGAGTTGAAAACGACGGAATAAAAATGGGGTTGAAACTGGACGATGAAGAGGAAAGAGAGTAAGACGAGGAAGATAAACAAGAAAAACCTTGTCTGCTCTGCTAGACGCAGAGGTGGGAGTCGTTGAGTATTATTTGCAAAGACCAGATCATCAAGAAACTGCTTGTCAAAAAGAAATATTACTGGCACGCCCTCCAAGGAAAAGCAGTGCCACCATCTCGCTCGATCAGCATAGTCGAAGGCGTCTTTCAAGTCAAGGAAAACCACCAAAGTCGGTCGTCTGTAAGTGCGTCTCTGCTCTAACACTTGACGGAGGATAAATATGTGGTCTATGTAGATACGACCAGGGTGGAAGCCAAGGTTTCAATGATTCGACCCCATGAGGACCAGTAAGTCATCGAAAATAAATACCCGTGAGAAAAATGGTAGAAATAGAAGCAGGAGTAAGGCTTCGGTGGTTTTCGCACATGACCACGTTTGCACATGAGCACGACAGCTGAGAGTCGCAAGTCTCACGGTACCTTTTTAGTCTTCCAACTCGTGCTGAAGAGAACAGTAAGTGCAGTCAAAAAGAATGACCTCTACCTTTCATCGAAGATAGAGTAAGGTCGTCCGGTTAAACAGTTGTGTTTTTTTTCCTAGACGGTGAACTCGTATTGTATCTTATACGTGGCAAAAAGTGTGATATCAACTTCACAGGTTGGCCCAGGTGATAGGGCAAGCAGCAGACCTGCTGAACTGTGATTCAAGCTGGTCTGGTCGATGCAGTTGAGAATGGACCAACTATCTTTCTCAACTATTGTCGCACCAACCGAGGGCTTTTTTGGGCCCGTGTTTCGAAGGAGCTGGAAGAGTATTCGTCTGTTCCTACTATCACTGACTTTCTCCAGCTCACGGGTTTTTACCTCTCATAAACGTTAGTGTTAAATTTGAATACACATTGTAAGTCGTCGTTTCAGAGTGCCAGAGACACGATGAAACGCAGTGCTTCGATCCACACGCAGTCCAGACGTATCAACTTTGGCGTGCAGAGGCATCAAAAGCATTCTTCATGGCACATATGAGATGATCCCCGTCAGTGCTCGAACCAACAATTCCACTCACCATTCCATTCCATTCACCAGCCAGTATGTCGTGAGAATGTTGAATTGCGGACTGTGAGTTCGTTACAAGTGAGAAGTTAGGAAGTCAGCCGCTCCTCTGAGAAGGGAAGCGTGAGCTCTAGTCGTGCGTGCAATATAGCTTGGTCAGAATCCAGGTAAGTGTTCTAAATTAACCGACAGTCTTCAACTGATGTCAACCATTAATAACTGGCGGCAATTTGTGTCCAGGTCAACAGGTAATTCGGTGGGCGCCAGGTTACACGATGTGAAAATTTGTACTGAAAAGGTGTGGTTCTAACATTAAAAATTTTGGTCGACATATAGTTGCAGGAAACCATTGCCAAAAGTTGTTCAGTGTGCATCGACCCCAAACCGGCCTCCCAGGCGTGGTTCGGAGCCCGGAAAGCTACACACATGGACACACATGTCACCAACAACAAACAAAGCATCAATATTTTTCGCCATGCGGAGGAGAGATAAAATGTGAAGACATAAAATGCCTTTCATACTTTCCGAATTGCAGTCAGCGGAGGCACAAACGGAGGCGACCAGAAGGCATATTGTCTGCATACGGTGCTTAGTAACCCCAATACAGGTTCAAAGTCCAGCCGCGCACATGCGGATGCTCACTGGTATCCAGCCAAATAGATTTCCATCAGCATGTTAGCTGACGCCGTAAGTACCTTGAGCCATGAACTCAGTATCACCAGAGACGCGAACAGTGTAGTATTGTCGGCAGATTCGGAACCAGGGAGTCGAAGACTCATCGCGACGCTGATAAATTGTATGCGTGTTTCGAAGACACAACACATAAATACCAAGATAGGGAGGAGTGAGAGTTAGTGCATGCCTATTGGCCGATCTGACCCATAGTGCAGACGTTAAACGAAACGATGTGAAATAAGACACTTGGTTTGAGGGACTGGTCACATGTATCGATAGCATAAGATGCAATGTCAACGACAGACACCTGCTCAATAGACGGAGAAGAAGAGGTTTAAAGGGGAATAAAACTAAGCGGTGTCGGTTGCAAAGTCCAGAAAGCAGATGATGCTCTGCGGCTCCCCATTCCAAGAGAGGGGTTTGTTCGGGGTGCCGTTGACTCGACAGTCTGATGCACAAGGTAGTAGGGAACAAGTTTAGTTCAAGAGTGTCGCAGAGAACCACTGAGATCTGCTTGAAATCTAATACACGCAGCCTTTGAAGATTTAGTACAGTTCACACATATTATAGACCGTAGCAGGTTAAGCGCCTGAGACGACAGCCAACCGATGGTGAGAGCTGGCGGGTTTGAACACCGTTGGCCAGGCGGTGCTTGAGTCGAAGTAGAAAACAAGTGAGAACCGGGCGGTGCTCTCCCACCATCAGAAACAACACGTGGCGATTGTGCTCTATATCAATCAAGCTGTGAGCCTATAATCTGTAAGTATGTTGTCTCACATAACCAGGTTTTAGGGAAAACAGCAATCCGCCTCTCCCAAACCTTGGAAGAGGATTGGGAGACTGCGTCAGTCTGACCCCTAACCATTGACCTGTCTGGTATGGGTGGCTCTAAAGGCACAGTGTAGTTGAATAGGCGGTGGTAAGCAAATCATCGAATCACGTTATGGTTCAGTCAAATTGAGATGGAGATACCACGTAAGGACGTAGCAGACAGACGGTCATGTCCGTATGCGCCAGATTCTTTAAAGAGGGGCTCGAGCATAAACTGCATCTGCAGTTCGAACCATTATCGAGCAAGAAGTAGTCACGGGGTCAATAGCACTAGTTCTTCAATATCTTGCATTCAGGTGTTAAGCGTCCAGTTCAATTAGTGTTATCCAACTTTTCCAGGTTGCTGAACTTTACGAACCTTTGACTCCCCTTGGCTAACGGCAACCATTGGTAGTTACTGTTACAATGGTGTCATAAACCAAAGCAACTGGAACCCGGTGTCCGGATCGCGAGCTTTCAACTGGACTGAGCCGTAGAAGCGACGTTTATACATGCACACATTATATAAATAGGATCACGAATTGGCTGGTGACTGAGGAACAAGCAAGGTGATCGGTGCCCAAATTAGACATCTATAAAGTATTGCAAAGATCTGTCAGGTGATCGGACAACATATCGTAAGATGAGACGCAGAGAAGAAGCATGATCACACTGTGTGTGTGGGGGCCATTTATCGTACCTGTGAGTTGACTAAGTCGGATCCATCGGCAATTGATCTGACACCTGAGCGACATGTAGGCGGTGACGATGAATGTGTCGACTTCCCGTCCTCAGACGCTTTGATTCGCTGCTTCGACGATAACGATGGTGGAGATCGGACACACGCTGACCGCTGCAACGTCACATCATGTTGGGACTCGCTGGCACAAAAGATCGACTCGGGTGAGGACAAGTGAACACGATGTGCAGCCGCTGCCGCCGCAGCGGCAACAGCGTAAGGAGAGGCACCTCGGGTAAAGGATAATGGGAACACTAGAAATAGTGAAATCATAAGACAGGCAGTGAGTAACTGATAAGCCAAACTATTGCGTTGTATGGATAGGCAGTTACATGTGCATAGCATACCGGATGGAAAATGCGTGGAACAATAAGCCAATAACAGTCGCAATGAGCTGATATCGTAAAAGAAAAATGGGATAACACCATTACGTGCAAATGTTGTTTGAGTACGCATTTGAGATGCGAATGAAACAGTGAGAAAACAGACAATGAATGCAAGCTAATTATGATGGTGATGGCTGTTAGTAGGTGTCTATGGTTATCCGCCCCGAATTCTAACGAGTGGTTAATCCCACAACATCGCTTGTGCTGCCGATTTCATGCTTCTCAAAATGGTTTGTATGAGCGTTAATTTGTGCGATGACGATGTATCCATGCAAAAAGACAACCGCATGGATGCAACTCGCCTTATAGAGGTTAATAAGTACTGCCCGATGTCAAACTTCCATGTAGGTAACTCCGAAGAGATCAGAAAGCGAAGCTTTTTTCGTTGTAACTGATGCCTTACTGCATGAACATAAATATAGACATGGCAGTCGGTTCCATCAAGGCGGACGGCAGCTAATCAGCAACGAGCGCTAAATGTTACAACCACAGTGACCGACCGTGCAGTCCGTGTGCCGACCGCAAATCGATATCGGCAGCACTGCCTATCGGTGCAAATGCTCCTGTCAGACCATCTGAACTAGAATGGAATCAGCGACCTGGATCCCAAATGACAATGGGGTCATTAGTTACGTGTAGTATAAACCGGTGCCGAAGTAGCTATCGCATTGTAGCAGGCAACAAGATTTTGACTGTGCCAAAACGTAGACAGGTACAAAGCCCACTCCTCTGTGTATTAAATGATCAATGGACAGTCATCGAAGCTCACAACCTATGAAGCGCAAGCATCTAGTGAATTAAGAAAGTTGATTCGCGATTGCAAACATGGCAACTGAACCAGTGGTTTATCGAGATAGCCTACAATGAGTTCATAAGGCATTCGAAAATAGACTAGTACGAAGCGGTTGAGCAGTAGAAGTGTAAGAGATGTAAGGATAACTACGGTGAAATTTTGAATAAGATTACAGTGAATAACCAGTTTTGCTGTGTCAGTAACAAATTGAAACCGAGCCTGATAAATACCTCAGGTACAGGGACGAAGAAGAGAGAATCACAGTGTGAACAGATACGACTGAGTGTGCCAAAGCATACACAGTCAAACAGCTCACGCCCAAGCCCACGGTGAAGTAAGAGATCACTCAACCAGCCGTGTGGTTTCGGAGTATCCCGTTACAGCGAATTATTAGGCGGCCGTGTTCCGCGTCGCGAGTTTTCGAGTGACCAGCGTTCTCTTCCCTTTCCCCCAAATCTGCGTACATGCATACGACCTAGCAGTATCCTCAGACCGCACGCGACTGATGGTGGCTGCGTGGCAGCAAAACGTCGGTATGGCGTTCCGACATGCTGCTGATGCCTTTCAACTTTCTGCTCTCCCCATAAAAACCACAGATGTCTTCTAGAAAATAATGAGACCTGGCGGGTGTGACTCGAGACTAGATAAATTCACTGCATCTAACTTTGCCCCGGAGGAGCACTTCATTACAGCTGATGTAGCTGGAAGAAGAGGACCGCGCCACTTGCGAAAACTTGTCAAAGGGAAGAAGTAAGAAATGAGCAAAATGTTGTCGGCTCTCAAAGAGCGCAATCCCACGGTTTCGCCCCGCTGTATTCCGGTTAGTTAAACCAGAAACAGACTAGGGGTGGCGTCTTTTAAATCACCACGCTACTTCGGCTTCGGCTACCACGGAACGTGAAAATGTCACACATCAGTAGCGCACGAATTATCATACGCCACCTGTTCAGTTGTCAACAATCATTGTTCTGCGTTACTTGCCGATTTCTGTTTCCATTATTTTACTCCCGATGGTTTCACCGATACGCATAGAGTTCAACCAGTGCCCCTCCTTGGGCCCCGATCCTCGTACTGTCTGGCATATTTCAATGTACGTACACTTATGCAAATCAGGCAACAGGTTGATCAAGCGCGGCTGGTGGCCAAAGGAACCAGATGCTAGAGTTTTAACCCGGAAGACCTCTATTCGAACGCACGTAAGGCGGCTAATCTCGCGAGATGCAGTGCACGCGCGGCTCGTGGCGGTAGCGTGGCAGCGAAGCACCGGAACAATGTGCCGGCGTACTGCAGTTGCTTGCAGTTCTTTTAATTTTGGCCTTGCACGGACCTTTGTGTTTTTCATCATCGATATTTGCTGTCTTGCCGAAACGTGATTTCAAGATCCTAAGACAATGAATAAATTGACGCATCAGTTTAGTTCAATCGCTAAACAATTATAATCCGAACACCGAAGTGCAGTGGATCCAGTTTCCAAGACTCACATCCCAGGAACAACAACAAATAACAATAGCAAGTTAGTGGGGTTGAATGCAAATAAAATATAAATAAAATGGAAGCAGGAAGTGTGGTACACTAATCAGAATGTAATGAAAATTAACAACCAGACAGTAAACCGGATGCAAGAACACCACTGACTGCGTGACTGCGCCATGTCTGATACGGTTTCTAACCATGGGTGTGGACCATCCCGAGGCCGACATCCACGGAGACGGCACCCACCAGCCTGACCAAGACTCGCAGTCCATTTCTTCATGTCACTATGCCACGTCATGTATTTGTCACCGCGTGAAGAATGCGGGCGTTATTGCCCTAATCTGTGACAGCTCCCAAACGTGCCAAGCAACACTGGACTGATTAGCATTGGCTGTCTACTTGAGCTATGCTTTGCTCCATCGAAATGCAAAGTCTTTCTTCAAGACTGGCAGGGACGAACCACTGCGCTAACGTTTGGAGATGAGCAACTAGAATTCGTTCAGGACTTCAAGTACCTGGGCAGCTATATTAGTGCCTGTGGGATCGAAGATGTCACGAACCGTATAGCGAAAGCTCGAGGTGCTTTTGCCAATCTCCGCCACCTGTGACGCAGACGCGACATCACTCTCGCCTGAAGAGCAGAGTGTATAATGCAGTCGTCCCTTCAACCCTCCTATACGGTTGTGAAACCTGGCCCATCAGGTCGACAGACATATAAAGGTTCGTCATGTTCGATCATCGCTGCGTCGAAGACACCGGCACTCATTCGGCTTCGTAGGCTGCCCCGATTCGCGAATCTTAGTATCTTGAAAAGCAAGGTGGATCGCACTTGGCTGTGGATCAAATCTTCACGCTCCGTAAACCCCGTGAATACCGCCACCTCTACCAGAGGCCTACTATCTTTGCCTTCCTCGAAACCCGAATTGTATTCGACTCCGTTGACCAACATGGCTGTTAAGGAGTGTGCACAGTACCTCCATGTCTCCGAAAGAGTGGGGGGTTTCGAAAGGCGTACTTTATCCTTCGAGGTCAATAGCGGTGTACGAGTGTTGCCCTATGTCCCCTTTCCTCTTCAAGTTTGTAAATGAACACGTCATATCGAGAGATCTGTAAGGTTACCAAAATTTAGGCCTAGGGATTCTACTGCTTAAGCGTGCGCCCTAGTTAGATTCTCCACATTATGCAGCATTGCTTGGTGACGCCCGCAAAGTATGCAAAATTTTCTGAACCGTTAGGTGATAGAGGCATCTAGGTACGGAATGTTTCACCACCCCAATTTACAAAGTGCTGCTCAAGGATTGGCACACACACGTTCCCGTGCTCATCTTTGTAGGTACAAAGTTTGAAGAGGTGGATAGTTTTGTCTATTTGGGGAACTGTATGATGGCTGGTGGCACAATTGAAAAGAAAGTAGCTCTCCGTATCGCCAAAACTCGATCAGCGTGCAGGAATCTGATACATTTGTGGCGTCGTCGAGATGTCTCTCGGTGGCTGCCTCTCCAACCAACCTCCCCGTGGTACCTGGGGGGGTGGTTCGGGTTTATCCCGTTCCAGCAAATGGCTTGGTGGTGTTTCGGGATGTGGTGGGTTTTCGTTTGGCAAGCGTTTACACCATAAAATCACATATGTCTGTTAAACAACACTACGACGTGACAGATGTGACTCGCCAGTAAATAGTCACTGCTTCACTCCGGTGGAGCATTGTATTCTAGCAGCTAGATGTGATCATGGTGGGAAAGACTGGGCTCTTGTTTAGTAGCTTAGCAAACAAAAGTTGTATGAACCGAGATCTGTCACTGGCTCGCAAAGAGCGTGAATCCATGAATTCCCCCCGCTGCTTTGTGAGTAGGTGGGGTTCCCCTAAGTCAACTCTACACTTCAGCTTAGGCAACAGGGTAGTATCGCGCTCTCTGTAAAAACCAAGAACCCCTCCGCTACTTCGCTGCATTCTCCATCTCGGTAAAGAGCAGGGTATACAATGCCTCCGTTCGAAAGGTATCGATGTATGCAGGCGAGTCGGGGCCAGTTTGCGTGGATGAAATGCGACGATTCCTGGCATGCGATAATGGGTGTTTGAGGAGAATGACTGATGGCTGGTGGCAAGAACATGCCTGTAGTGATGACATTTGACATAGTCTTTGGAAATGCAAGTATTCCCTTCAACAAACTGGTCTTATTGTGCCAATTCAGGTGGCTTGGCCATGTGACGCGTATTTCACCTGAGCGTTTACCCCATCGAGACCTGTTCGCTTGTGCATGATTGGGTTGGAATAGACTGCGAAGCTGACAGCCGACTACTTGGTGACATCACATGAAATCGCTGGCTTCTCGTTTAACCGCTGTTAGATACACGATTGCCAGGTTGTGGACTCAAGGACAGGGAATGCCGATGGCTCGAAACACCTCAAGATATGAACCGCAACCGAAAGCAATGGAAGATTCGTGTACATAATACTTTGGATTCAGGTGTTTAATGCCCACAAGTTGAAAAGGACAAAAAAGCGGAGCTCTGAAAGATAAGCATAAAAATGCTCCGTTTCTTTTTGTGACGGTTGTAGTTATCACCCTAAGTTGAATTATGTGGTTATGGATGATTCTGTGT